GGGGGGCGGGAGCGGCGGAGCGAGGCGAGGGCCGAGCGGAGAAGTGTCTCGGAAGTGTCTCGGAAGTGTCTCGGAGGCGTCTCGGAGGCGTCTCGGAAGTGTCTCGGAGGTGTCTCGCCTGCGCGCGCTCGAGCCTCGCCTCGAGCTTGGAGGCGTCGGCGCACACGCACGTGGCCACGTCGATGGGGATGGAGAGCGCACCTGCAGCCTCGGCAACGCTGTCGCCGTCCACCGGCGCCGCGCCGGCGGAGTCCTTGTGCTGCGACGCCTAAGAGGTTCGGGTGAGGGACACTTCTCCACACACACACGAGGCGACGGGGCAAGGGCCAGGCTAGTCCCTCGCGACTCCACGTCTAGACGACAGGCGCCCCACGGCATTGAAAGTGCAAGGCCCGGTGCGCGTGGGTGAGCGGTGAGAGAGAGAGAGAGAGAGAGAGAGAGAGAGAGAGAGAGAGAGAGAGAGAGAGAGAGAGAGAGAGAGAGAGAGAGAGAGAGAGCGAGAGAGCGTGTGTGCGTGTGTGCGTGTGTGCGTGTGTGCGTGTGTGTGTGTGTGTGTGGGTGTGGGCAGTGCGTGGGTGTGCGTCCTTGTGCGGCGGCGCCTTCTCGCGCGATCGGGCGAGCGCCTCCCGCCAGAAGGAGCCCTCGCCTGCTTCACGGCTGGAGGTGTGAAGAGGCCGCCGCGCAGCAGCGCAGCCGCGCCAGCGAGGTTGTGCGAGGTTGTGCGAGATGGCCCGAGGTGTGTGGCATGCGCGGTGTGGCGTGGCGTGCGTGCGAGAGGAGTAGGGAGGAGCCCTCGCCGAGGTTGAAGGCCCGGCCCGGAGGAGCGAAGAAGAGGGGCTCGAGCCAGATGCGCGCGTCGCCGAGGTCCGCCGCGCGCTGCGCCGCCCTCTTCTGCGCGTCGCCGCCCTCGCACGGAGCGTCGTCGTTCGTGAGGAAGAAGACGCGCTTGCGCGCGCCCGGCTTTGGCTTGGCGTGCGCAAACAGCATCGAGATCTGCCACAGGACAGACTCGATCACGAGGGGTTCGCCGCCCTCCTCCATGTGCCCAAACTCGGAGAGGTCCCCCGCCGCGACGTTCTGCATCTTCTCGATGACCGCCGCGTGCGGCTCCGCCATCGGAAGCAGGACGAACGTGTGGTCGAAGGACTGGAGCCCCTCGGGCGCCGACTTTTCGCGCGTGCCAAAGAGCATCACGCCGACCTGGTCGCCGTCGCCCGCCAAGACTCGCTTGCGCATCGTCGCCGCCACCGCGCGCAGCGCTTGCGTCAGCGGCGGTGGCTCGCCCGGCGCCGGCTCGGCGAGCATGGCTTGCCGTGCGTCGATCACAAAGAGAATGCAGTCCTTCTCGTAGAAGGAGGGCGCCTCGGACTCCTTCTCGTCATCCTCGCTCCCGGAGCCATCGTCGCCAAAGGTGTCGTCCATCGCGCGCGCCAAATGCTGGCAAAAAGAATTTACAAAAACAACTCTCTCTCTCGAGGTTCTCGAGGTGGATATCCTTTGGCCGCGTTGGGTAGCGAGGATTGGTGTAACCCGAGCCACGGAGGCGTGTTTTCTGACGGCCGACCGTCAGTGCACGGAGTTGCCCCTTCTCCGACTGCCCCGGCTAGTTCCCGAGGTCGTCGGGTGTGACCCCTTAAAACAACTCTCTCTCACAGCACACATTTTAGAAATTAAACAAAAGAACTCTCTCTCACAGCACACAGGCTCGACACAGGTGCGAACTGGCGCGTGCTAGTACTATCACCGGCACACAAGGTCCCTCGGGCCAGTTGGGGGGGGCAAACCCTGCCCGCCCCCTAGAGCTCCAGGTAAGGCCCAGGTGTGGCCTAGGGCATCAGAAGGGACCAAGAGGAGTCCAGTCTGAGCCATAGAGCCCATGTCTTTGCCCCCGAAGGTCGCGTTCAAATGCCCGGAACGGCCGTGGTCTCAGTGGTGTCCGGCCGGCGCGATCACCGAGCTGTGACGCTCAACCGCTCTGCTGCCGGTGGTCAGCTCAATGCTAAGCAGCTCAGCAGCCACATCTCAAATGCTGGCTGCGCTGACGCATTGCTCACGCTCTTTGCTGCCCACAGCGCGAGCTTGGACCACATCCACGCTGCGAACCTGTGGAACAAACTGGGCAAGCAGCGCGTCGAGCGGCGGCACGAGGGGCAGCTTGAGCAGCTGGTGCAGCGCACGCTGGACCTCATTCCTTCGTGCCGTGCACGCGAGCTGGCCAACGTGTCTCACAGCGTTGCAAAGTGCGGCCTGCAAGCGAGGATGGTGCACCCGTTGTTCGTAGCGGTGGCGGAGGCGGCGGTGCGCGGCGGGCTGGATGGCTTCAACCCTCAGAACCTCTCCAACACGGTGTGGGCGTACGCGACGGCGGGCGTGGCTGCGGACGCGCTGTACGCGGCGGTGGCGGAGGCGGCGGTGCGCAGCGGGCTGGCTGGCTTCAAGCCTCAGGACCTGGCCATCACGGTGTGGGCGTACGCGACGGCGGGCGCACCCCGCCGGCCGATGGGCCACCGCCCCTCGGCAGGCATAACGGGGTGGAGCCCAGTGGCACCCTGGAGCACGCAGGCAACGCCCACTACCGCGGGCATGCCTTCACCCTCCGGGAGGGGCGCGGACCCCGGCACGGCGGCTCATCTCGTGGGGACCGCCGGCTATCTGGCCGACCCCACCCTCAGGCTCACTGCTCAACGGAGGCGCCGGCGAACACCGCCCGGCGCCTTGGCAGAGGGTCCCTGACCTCCCCCGCGACACTCACAAGGGCGGGGCTGTCCCGGAAAGTGAGAAACGCCGGGCAGCGTGGTGCACAACTTCAACCTCCCATACGTATTTTCGTTCCGCTTCTCCCTCGGGCTGTTCCATCTTCCCATCTCCTTCCAACTCAGGCGAGGAGGGGGCAGGGGGGGGTGCGGGTGCGGGGTGCGGTGCGGTGTGAGTGTGTGCGTGTCATGTCGCTACAGCAAGTGTCCATCCGTCTGTATTATTATTCAACGAAGGCACAAAGAAAAAAGAAAAACAGCCACAATTAGTTGCACCAGCTGCACAAAATGCTCGGAGCGATCAGCCCTCTCGCGCTTGGCTTGGCGGGCGCCGCGGCGCCTTCGGTCGCCGTCACCCGTGCTGCCGTGTCGATGGCGGGCAGTGTCGACAGCATGATCGGAAAGTACTCCATCAAGGGCACGGTGTACGACCCGCTCGACCTCGCGAGCAAGTACGACGTGAACTGGCTGCGCGAGGCTGAGCTCAAGTGCGCAGCCTCCTCGTAGAGACGCGACTCTCGAATCCCAGACCGCCCGCGAGCGCTGGCGCCGCCGGCGCCGCCGCGCCGCGCGGGCCGCTGGCCGCTGCTCGCTCGCCTCCGCAAATGCCGCCGTCGCCGTCCAGCCCGCCGCCCCTAGCCCTACCATGGCCGGTCAGTGCCCCGCCGTCCGTGCGAGGCCACGGCGGGCCTGCTCTTGTCCCCACCGGCCGCGCCCGATGCCAGCTATGCAGCCTCCCAGTTCCGGGCTGCTGCCACTCTTGCCCTGTGCCGTCGCCGCCGCCGCCGCCGCCGCCTCGTCTCTCAGTGTACGCCGGAGAGAGACCGTGGGTGAGAGACTTGTTCTCTCTCAGTGTATGCACCTCCCCCGCCGCCTCGCACCGCCCTCACCTTCCCCGCTCCTCGACCGCTCCACCGTCACCGCCCTCGCCACTCTAGGCACGGGCGCGTGTGCATGCTCGCGGTGGCTGGCTTCCTCGCCAACGATGCGGGCTGGGGCTTGCCCGGCCTCGACATCAAGTGCTCCTCGATTGAGGCGGCACTTCCGAGACGCCTCTGAGACGCTTCCGAGACGCTTCCGAAACACTTGGGAGACGCTTTGGGGAAGGGGAGGGGGGGGGGCAGGTCTCGAGAGCCTTCTCGGAGCCTCTCCCCTGCAGGCGCCCTTTCCGAGAGACTCTTCCGAGACACGTCCACGACACTGCCGTGACCTGTTTCGCAGGCACACGACCGGATGGTCGACCTAGAACCTTCTGGGAACCTTCTAGGCGCACGACCGGATGGTCGAGTCTGGACACATGTGGGCCCTCCTGGCGGTGGTTGGCGTGTGCGAGTTTCTGCACTTTTCGGTGCGCCCCCCCCCCCCCCCG